GATTTATGGAAACATACTGCGATATCTGGAACATCTTGCCAACTGGATCATCAGGCGCCCTGTGTGCAGCATATTCAGCTGGAGGACATCATATTAGAGATTCAATTGAGTCTCCCGTGAAAACCATATTGATTTGCAAATGAGTATATTTCTCAAAAACGGTGCAATTTCTGTTCCAGTGGATGATAATTTTGAAGGAATCCGGGGACTGCGCCTACCTGATGAGCTCCAAGAAGGGCGAATTAGGTCGTGGGCTGTCGAATAGTTGTCAGCAAAATTGTGAGTTTTCTGATTTATGGAAACATACTGCGATATCTGGAACATCTTGCCAACTGGATCATCAGGCGCCCTGTGTGCAGCATATTCAGCTGGAGGACATCATATTAGAGATTCAATTGAGTCTCCCGTGAAAACCATATTGATTTGCAAATGAGTATATTTCTCAAAAACGGTGCAATTTCTGTTCCAGTGGATGATAATTTTGAAGGAATCCGGGGACTGCGCCTACCTGATGAGCTCCAAGAAGGGCGAATTAGGTCGTGGGCTGTCGAATAGTTGTCAGCAAAATTGTGAGTTTTCTGATTTATGGAAACATACTGCGATATCTGGAACATCTTGCCAACTGGATCATCAGGCGCCCTGTGTGCAGCATATTCAGCTGGAGGACATCATATTAGAGATTCAATTGAGTCTCCCGTGAAAACCATATTGATTTGCAAATGAGTATATTTCTCAAAAACGGTGCAATTTCTGTTCCAGTGGATGATAATTTTGAAGGAATCCGGGGACTGCGCCTACCTGATGAGCTCCAAGAAGGGCGAATTAGGTCGTGGGCTGTCGAATAGTTGTCAGCAAAATTGTGAGTTTTCTGATTTATGGAAACATACTGCGATATCTGGAACATCTTGCCAACTGGATCATGAGGCGGCCTGTGTGTAGCACATTAAGCTGGAAGACATCATCAACGAGACATTCAATTGAGTCTCCCCTGAAAATCAAATTGATCTGCAAATGAGTATATTTCTCAAAAACGGTGCAATTTCTGTTCCAGTGGATGATAATTTTGAAGGAATCCGGGGACTGCGCCTACCTGATGAAACCCAAGAAGTGCAAAACAGGTCGTGGTCTGACGAAATGTTTTCAGCAACCGTGTGAGGAGATTCCTTTATGAAAACATTCTGCCATATCCCGAATATCGCACCAAATGAAACATGAGGCGGCCTGTGTGCAGCACATTCTGCTGGAGGACATCATAAACGATAGATTCAATTGAGTCTCCCGTGAAAACCAAATTGATTTGCAAATGAGTGTAATTCTGTGAAAGATTGAAACTTTGAATTGGGTGTATCATAATGTTGACGGAAATTCGGGATTGCGCCTACCTGATGATCCCAAGAAATCGAAGCACTTCGTGGTCACTCGAAAAGATTTCAGCAAATTTGTGAGAAGTCTGCTTTATGAAAACATACTGCGATACCTGTGTGCAGTACATTAACATGGAAGACATCACAAACAAGAAAATTCATATAGTCTACCGTGAAACCAATATTGATTTTCAAATGCGTGTTTCTCTCCAAAGCAGTGGCATTTGGTTTCAAGTGGATCATAAATTTGACGGAAACTCGGGGGCTGCGCCTACCTGGTGAGCCCCAAGAAGTGCGAAATAGGTCGTGTGCTTTCGAACAATTTTCAGCAAACTTGTTCGTCGTTTTCTTTATGAAATCCTGCAGCGATATCTCGAATATCGCGCCAAATGAATCATGAGGCGGCCTGTGTGCAGCGCATTCAGCTGGAGGACATCATAAACGATAGATTCAATTGAGTCTCCCGTGAAAACCAAATTGATTTGCAAGGCTTTTCTATTGGCTTATAGGACAAATTGAACATAACGACTTCGATCCTGTAACGCAGTTTTTTCGTGTTAGTCGCCTTCAATTGCGCAAGATCTGCGCTCAGGCAATCCGCACTTTTACAGGCCATTTAGTCAGACGGTTACAAAGCACATATCTATCTGGTAGATTTGAAATTATATCCATAAATACCGCTATCTCTACACTACGAGACCGACGACTCTTCCGCCCAAAACTGGTGACCAGCTTTTCCAGTGCAGACTAACCCTACCTCTTGTGCTGACGTCATTATTCGTACCTCGGAGGTCAACGGCCACAAGCTAATTTTTCCACTTGCACTATCAGTAGCCACATTCTTACCAGAGAATGGGAGTGATGTTGGATCGAGAATCCTGGTCCGCCCAGCTATTCATGGTATTTTTGTTAGACCAATCAACTTATTTCAACTGTTCCGTGGATGTTTTGGGCGCCGAAATCTGCTTTTAGGACGCCGGTAAATGATTCAATTGCGGTGAACTACCAAACGTAAAGCATAGCTGTCAATATCCTCGAGCTTCTTAAGTAGCCATATTTAACTTCTTTTGCTTCTGAGCAGGCAGGAGCTGGTAAATTGGTGGGTAAATCCAGCACTGTCAGTGTGCTGTCATGTGCGAGGGGGGTTGAAAAAGGAGATATGCATTGAAGCCAATAGCTTTGATGCAAGAGCGCTAATAAAGACGCGATCGGGTCATGTCTGACAGTGTCTCCAACCATTGATGTGACCAGTCTTGGGGTTCCCATCACGGAGGACGGCAATCACCAACGCATCTGAGTTTGCTGGTAAACGATTTCGTACTTCGCTGCCAAGTCATTTTTTGACCGCCTCTGGCTCTCTTCCACCCTTCACGTGGTTGTGCGAAGACAGCCATCCGAGGAAGTCGGTCAACTGGCATACGCAGCACGTGGCCAAGCCAGCGCAACCTGTGCAGTGTGATCAGTTAATCTATCAAGAGTGAGTTATCTCTCCCGAATACCATTCGACGTACTTCAGAATTGCTAATCCGGTGTTCCCACCAGATTTGTGCAATGCTTCGAAGATGTCGATGGTCAAACACTGGAAGACTTTTGACGTCCTCGGTGCGCAATGGCCAGGTTTCCGGTGCATATAGTAATATGGATCGCACAGCAGCATTGCAATCTCGACCCTTGACAGGGAAGCTGGTGTCACGCCTACGCCACAGGTGACGTAGGCTCGCAAATGCTGCTGTGGCCTTCCCAATCCGGATGGAATTATCATCCTTCGCTAGACTACCAGGACTGACAACGTAGCCGTCTGTCGATGAAAAGCGCTGTTCTATCTCATCACGTGGTAGCGGCGTCAGCGTGACGGGACATTGGAACATTTCATGCCGCACCCCTCGGAATGTACACACCACTAGGTGAAGGGACAAAATATAACCAGCATTTTTTCGACAACCACAATGTCCGAAATCCTATCAGGGATGTAAGTGGCGATCCGAAATCAGCGCACATCAATTGACGTTCCAGGCTGACATCGACCGAAGTTACTATTTCGGTAACTTAATCAGTCAATCATCAACTGAGGTAGTAGTCATGGTCGTTGTAGAGAATGTCTAAAATTTGCAGCCTTCAGATTTGAACACCGAAATGGTCACCATGAGCAAAGCACTACGAATCATAGACATTGCTGTTGATGGACAGAGATGGCGCGCTGCAGCCTCAAGTGTTCGTGGGATGAGGAGGGGGACTTTCCAAGTCACTAGGACTAACGCAAGTCCAGTTAGGGCTGTTCAATAGTGATTGATTCACGAGCATATATGTGAATATAATTGAGTAAAATGGATTAAATGTGCATTTTAGGTGACCACCGCGAAGTGGCGGTGGTCCGATGGGGCCTCCATAGCCATCGTCCCAGGCAGGCCTATACCTTCCCATATGAGGTGGCGGGCCAGCACCTATAGATCTTGAGGGTGGTCCACGGGGGCAATCCACGGGATTGTCGCGATACCGCCCGTCACGCCTCCTCATCGGAACAGGTCCACCTTGCTTACCGTGACAACGCTCCACATTTATCCTCGCCCCATCCAAAATGGTGTCTTACAAACCAGCGAGCACAGCTTCTGCATCCGAATCCTTCTCCATATGCAAAGACGTTGCAAAATCACGAAACCCTCATAACACGAGGCCACAATTGTTGACCACATCACACTAAGCGACCTTACCGTAAGCTTCAAATTTCTTCCGCAGGTAAGCATCCTTTGTCTCAGGGTTTAAGTTACCAACGAACAGCTTCACCATCGCAACGGAGGGAACCGAAATAGAATTCACTAACGTACCCGCCAAGTTGTTTAAAACAACCTTCGAAAATCTTGCGCGCTCGTGTTTCACCACCGTATGACGGTCTTTATCAAGCTCGCGGAATGGGCTATTTTACCGACGACACCACCCCGATCATCTTAGTATTAACTGCATTCAGAAGCGCTCGATTGGAATTTCGCGGAGATGCCGGCCCTGCGCAGGGGTGTGCACATTTATCCACATACAATGTTTCGAGGGAAGAATTTTGTGAATAATGGTTTTATGCTCAAGCCCGAAATCACTGTTTTCTAGACTTTCTTGAAATTTGTTCGAATAAGCCCCTAAACTTAACTTTTGGTGTGGATTCACTTTTTCTATTGCACTGTAATGACTCAAGAAGTTGTCAGTCCGTCTTTAAGTGTTTTTTTTAAAAAACTGGCAGATTTCTTGATTTCATGCTTCAAAACATTTGCGAAGACGTTAAATGAATACATGAGAGTAGTGGTGTCATCTTTGCGTTTGTACCAATGCTGTTTTACATTTCAGGTCTGGCTGCGGACGACATGAACTCCTGGAGCCCCAATGCCAGTGCAATCCACATGGATGCAGACGCTGCCAAGCAGTGGTCGTTGGACCGGAACCTTCCTCTGGATGACGACAAGTGCGTCCATATGTCGTTTGGAGGAGACTCAGTGAATGCCTGTGTCATGCATGGTGAGGATAGATATCAAAAAGAATTTGGTCATTTGGGTCTCCTCAAAGCTGTCCGCCCCACTGCACCATGAGAAATCGGCCCAAAAGAAAGGCACCGTTTTGTGCATTATCCGACGCACCCTCTCTCGTATTACTCGGATGGACATCCAAACGCCCTATGAGGCTCACGTTAGACCGCTTCTGGAATACGCCAACCAAGTTGTCTACTCAGGATGCACGGATGACGACACCCTCATTGAGAGTGTCCAGCGAGCTGCCGCGAGAACCGTTGCCAGCCACAAATCCGTGGACTACGTAACGCGTCTCGCGATGCTTGATCTCTTTTCCCTGGAGTACATTTGCCTCGGGGGTGACGTAATTCATGCCTGTGTCCTGTTTGAACAAAGCTTGGCAAAGAGGTTTTTTACCGTTAACTTAGCAAACACACGGTGGGGACATAGTGTAGTTGTCTGGCTACCCAA